GTTACAAATGAAATGTACACCACTTGTCCATTAACACTTTATAATTCCAGATGACAATTTCCTTTTAAGGTAAATTTCATTTGCATGATAATTTTAGTGTGCTTTTTTTTCGTTAACATGTAACAATTATTTTATAAAAAGTTTATGTTGATATATACGTGATGTAATAAAAATCTTTTCATGATACATACGTTGACAGAATATGTAATTTATCAAATGTAATTTTCCTTAATTATATTTGTAGGTGTGTGTCAATTATTTTTCATATAATGCATGCCAATATATTTTGTTTCTTACAATTTTTATTAGTATTGTCAATAATTGAAAAAATGTAAATTCCCTTGTATACTAATGTAACGTAAAATTTTATTGCTTCAACGAATTATTAATAATATATGTGAATCCATATAATAAAAAATGTTTCGTTTTAACTACAATCGATATCAGTTTTATAAATAATAATATATATAACACCTCCTCAAAAACGAGAACGCTACTTTAATAATAAATAATATATTATTTGTTTTGCTTTTTAACTATATAATATGAAATTTAGAAAATAATTGTTAATAATTCTTTCTTTAAGAAGTAAATATAGTATAATATTGATCTAAGTAGTATTACCAGTGTAATTTTTCAAACAAAAATCAATACTTCCATTGTATGAACGTAGAAGATATTTACAAAGGTAAATCTTATTTTAATTATTTTAAAATATTGTTATATATGTTTCAGAATAATTAAAAAAATATAATATAAATAAATCGTATGCATACGATAAAATATATTTTCCATTTTAATAAGAGTTCATAATAAAATCATTTATATACATATACCAAAAATAATTAATGCCACATATATATGCATATAATATCAAAATTACTAATGTTTCCTAATTTTTGATAATTTACTTATATATAAAGTGTTATTATTATTACATTGAACATCTAGTAACGCTTAAATTATAAACTTTATAATTTTTATAATAACATTAAAAGAACCTTTTTTAGTGTATACATTAATCAATATATGTAATCAAGTAATTTTTCATTTATTATATTGTTTTACCTATATTCATATATTTTCGTATATTATAGTTCAGTAAATATAATTTTATCAAATATATGACACTATGTGGTGTCAGTGGTAAAAATGTATATATCAAATTTGATCACTTTGCAAAAACGTTAAAAAAGAGTGATATAGTTATTTAAGGAAATAAAATTATACAAATTATACTTTTAATAAATATGTAAACAATTAAATGAATTAGGTAACATTTTATCATATATATGAATATTTTTCTATATTTATCATTTAATTATATCAATTATTAATATTCTATAGGGCATAAACTGGTGAAGTGCAAATGTGCAGGTTTTCATATAACAATTAGGTGATTAAAATTAGAAAGTTATAATGCTTCAAAAAAAAATTTATCGAAAAATATGATCTTCTTAAATTGTTAATTATATTATTTTCACAATATACCATCCATAAAATACTTTGCTAAATAATATAATTCATACAAGCATATTAAATATGATTCCAAGCATGATTATGTTTACTATATTTCATTTATTTATATATTAACATACATATGCACATATATTAAGAATTATTGTATAAATATATAGTTTTTTATCATATTAAACCTATCTGGAATTACTGTAATTTATCTAAGACCATTATTTATTGCAAAGAAAAATTGCAACATTTTACCTCTTTTTTTGTTGTACTAAAAATTTTATAAAAAAAAACATTTTATTCTGAAGTTTTGATAATCTTATAAGAATAAATATATTATATGTATAATACTTTGTTAAATTATTTTCATTTGTTTTTAATAAATATTTTCAAAATAGCAAATTCTATTAGCTCCAGTAGTGGCTCCAACACCATTCAAAAGTGTTAATATCTTATATTAAAAGAAAATGTTGTGAAATCAGAATAACGTGCAAAAAAATGTTGCGCATATATACTTAAAAAAAATAGTATTTTATTTGTGAAAACACGAGTTATTCTCCTTTCTAAAAGTAAGTTTTATTTATTTTAATTTTTTTTTAATATTATTTTTATAACTGTGTTTTTAGAAATGTTATCTATTTTTATTTTCTATAATAAATTACAATGTAGTTTCATAAGGCAAGGAAAATATCACAATTTCAGTAAACACTTATAATTTCTTGATAATTTTTTGTAGATATGTAAACAAAATAGTTATGCAATATGTTATGTAAAAGCCATTGCTCAATAGATACATATTATAAGTTTCGTCAATAATAAAATTGCGATTTCACGTATATATAGAGAGAAGTATATTTTATTACAATAATTCGCATGATATCTGGATTCAATAAAAACCAATAAGGTAATCCTACGCATTATGTTATCAGATAGAACTCCTTAAAAAACGAGAATATCGGTGATTATCCTCCTGTAACTACGAAATCATTACATCTGTATGAAAATAATATTATTTGCGTAATAATATCTAAAAAAACAGATTAAAATTTATTTTCCAACTTTTCTATGATTTACTCTAAGCTTTTTAATACTGCGTTACCCGACTATTTTTTTAATGAAAATAAAGAAACCTAAAATAAGTTAATAAATTTTAAAATAATTTTTGATGAATCTCCTTAATATATTAAAATTAAATATCTCAGAATATATGTAGAGCCCAAAATAAATGAAATTATGAATAAAAAATCAAATTCTCCAATTAAGGAATAATATAAAAGAGGAAAAATTTATGTTCTACAAAAATTTCTATAACTTCCTTTTCTTCATGGTTTTATTAGTATTCTCAAGTCTTGGAGCCCATTCCGAAAAATGGATATATGCAGATACTCATTTGTCAATACTGCAAAAAATAATCCCTTTAAAATATATATATTTAAGTAATTTTATAATTTTATATATCCTATATGTGATAATGGGGGTTTATTAAATAACAAGCAAAAGATAAAGTATTTTTTTTACATTATCACAATGAAAATAAGTTTTATATGCAGATTATTACTTAAAATTGTGATTTCATTTCATCTATATTTTTAATTATAATTTATACTATTAAAACATATTAGGATAAAAATATAAAGATTATTAGAAATGAAATGAATAAAATCACCGTTATAAATGTAACTATTACCTTGAATAATTAAAATTCCTATAAAAACATCATATAAATCTGTAGGAAATTATTAATCCTAAAGCATTTTGAACAAAAAGAATATTTTAATACTATTATGAAAAGATTATTTCTTTTTATATATTGTTATAGAATTAGAAAAAACAGCAAAAGAATTGAAGATAAATGATGCAAAAAAAAAAAAAAAANNTTTAATTATAGAATATATTTTTCTCAAAATATTTATAATAAGCAGAATAACATAATTAATATATTTTATACAAGGTATTAATATACTTATGTTATTTATCGTGTGCTATATATTCTAATTTAAAATTAAAAGAGTTTTTATAAAATGAAGAACTTTTTAAAATGAAGCTCTAAATTTTCCCCTTCCATAAGTATTTCCAATAGATATAATTATGCAGTATTGGAATTATATTCCCATTTGTACTGTTTTAATATTACATAATTAATAACAAAGTAAAATCATATAAAAATATTAATAACTATGAATAACAAAAAAATAATAGATATATAAAAACAACCTTATATTGTTTTCAATCATGATATAATGCGACAGGTAATCAAATTAAATAATTATTTCCCTTGATTTACAAATAATAAATCAGATGCATATTATTAAATACATAATACCAATAAAAATTAGAACATTCATATATAATATAAGAATTTAAGTGTCTATCAACTATGCATATTATATACATGTACATAAATATGTACACTGCAAAAACTAGAAATTATACACCCAAAATAAAAATCCATAAAAATATAAATCATCAACAATGCTAAATTACGCAATAAAGTAAAAATAAAATACACAAAGTAAATATAGAATATGGGATGTAGAACAACAATTATTTATATATTAATATGCAATTTATGAAGTATAACATTAAGGTTTTAATTAAATTAATATTATTTAAAAAATATAATGTTTTACATTATGCATAAAATAAATAAGTGCTATAGCAATAATTATTTTAATTAAAGATATTATTACAAAAAAATTAAACATAACTTTATATACATTTTATATTTTCTTGCTTATAATAAATGTGAATTAAATTTTTCAAAATAAAATCTATAGCAATGATAAATATATAAATGGTAATACGAAAATTATACAAAATTGATAACTTTGTTGTAATTTATAATAAGTATAAATAACGAAGTATTTATTATTATATGGAACAAGTGTATAACAAGAAACTGAACTCACTTATTTACGATAATATTCTAGTATTACCACAATAATATAGTAAATATTAATATAAAAAATTATAGAATATAATGTATACTCATATATTTTTGTCATATAATTTATATTGCTAGTGTTCATCGTCACTACAAAATAATATGAATAACAAAAAA